AGTAATACCAACCCACAGCTCACAGACTTGTCAGCAGCCCAGAGCCTTCCTAGTACACCAACAGCAGTAAGAAAAGCACCTACTTTGAGGTGAGGTGCCAGGCCAGAGAAAAGATGCGTCAGCAAGGTGGACAGGTTTGAACCACAAAGCACATGTTCTGCATGCATGAAGCTAGGCAGTAAAAGCAGTCTTGTGAGGAATTCCAGCACCCCCAGGCAGAGCTTGTCCTACAGATGGGACCTGGCCACTTACCATACTGCCCGTGCTGCCCAAGCGTGTAGGCGTACTTTGGGGAGTCATCAGTAGCAGGCACACTGTCGCGCTGCAGCTGAGCCAGCGAGTGTACATCAAGGCGCACGTTTGTGTCCTCCAGCTGTCCTGCCTGTGGGCCACCAGCCTTCCGCTGCAGCACGGCAAAGGCACAGTTAGATGGGACATACTGGGGGGTACTCAAGCTGATAACTGGAGCTATAAGGCTAGAACAACTTGCTCCACCTACCTGGTAAAGGCTTATTTAGATCCCAGCTAGGCTGATGCTAAACCAGTCCCATTCCTTCAGACCCCACAAGCACTCAATACCACCCAGTGCTAGCCCTGAGGCAGGCCATAAGCAACAGCTAACACAACCCTGCTGGCACAGCTCGCTGTGTAGCTGAGAAACTTCCAGGCCGTTAAAGCTCAGGAGAGCAAGGCCTTGAAACGATTACTGCACAGGGTCAGCAGTGCAAGGCTTCCAGCACTACAGAGACCAACAAGATTTTGTAAATTCTTCATAAATCACTTGCTGTTTGGGCTGCTCTGCTTTGTGTGAGGAGTTGAACTACATGACTGATAGAGGACACTCCCAACCTACATAACAGCCTCCATTGCAGCAAGTCAGCATCGTGAAACACTATTCTGATCTGAAGAGAATCACCAGCCAGTACTTCTCAGTCCCACACCCACAAGCAAAGGCATTGTGACCCCACTGCTGTTTCAGACCCACCTCCCCTTCAAGGAAAAGGCACATGGCCACGCAGTGCATCCAAAGAGCCTCTGCAGTAAAAGGAATTCTGCCTCCATGCTCACAGGAGAGAGGGAAGGCTCTGAATAATTCTGACAAGGCAGGTATCCCTCTCACCTTTGCATCCTCCATAACAAGTGCATTAAAAGCAGCTGAATCTAAATGGATTCCCTTTTCTTCAAGCATCAAGTCAATCAGATCCACAGGGAAGCCCAAATTCCCATAGAGAGACCAGGCTATTTCAGCTGTAGGACAAAGAGAAGGACATGAACTCTGTGTGAACACACAAACCAAAGGTATATCAAGATTTGCCTGGACGGGACCACTCGAGCATGTGCCTTGGTAACTGGATTCACCTCTGTTGTGTGCAACTGCACTGGCAACGGGCAAGTGAAGAGAAGCTGTGCACTTCCTGTATGGGACTGAGTATTAATGATGACCCACAGCACCACCCCTGCTAAAATTCAGTGCAGCACATCTAGACAGGCAGCTGAGCTGGTTGAGTCCTGAGATCCTTCTTTCAGCCATGTCTTGTAAGGGCCTAGCTAATCAGTCAATAAAGCAGCAGGGGAATGTTTCTGACCTTCCTGGTGCCTAATTTGTTGTGAGAACTAAGTACTAGAAAACAACTGCAATCTGGAGAAAGGCGAGGTGGGGGCGGGCAGGGGCAGACATCCACTAGTTTTGACTTGTGAGGACCTGGATCAAACCATCTCTAAGTCCAACTTGTCAGAGGAGGGAGACTCACCCGGGAAGTCTGTGGAGGGCTCTATCTGCCGCACTGTCCGCTCAATGATGCGCCTCCCACGCTCGAGGGAGGACAGAAAAGCGGCCTCATTCTCATTGACAATATCCATGATCTGCGCAAGGATCAGAAGAAGGGTTAGCCACAACAACTCAAGGAGTTCCTCAGCTCAGCCCTGCTCAAAGCAAATAAAGTAAGTGTCTAACAGGGATATTGCGTCTGACTGAACCAGCTTTTTTTTCTTTAAGTATCCATCGCAACACAGCTCTGATGCATTACTGAACAGCGCCATTGAGCCTCCCATCACCATTCCTGTCAAGGAAATATTGACCACCCACTTGGGGAAGGCTGGAGGCTGACAAATGCTCCCTGTCAGACATTCATGTCTGTCACCCAATTAAAATTGCATGGCTGGAAGAGTCAGAGAAATTGCTTGTCACAGTTGCTGTCAGCACAAGCAAGTCGGGACTAGCCTTAAATCACCAATCCACCTTGGACAAAGGATACCCAAGCTAGGACAGGCTGTACTTTTACTAAAAAAACACCCCTCCAGAGCTATCCTAGGATTTTTTAGAGCAATGGCTGCCTTATACCAGCAGAAACAGCCCCTGGTAAGGAGCTCCCACAAGGAACTCTGCGACAGATATTTCTTGTGCCCAAGATACAAACATGTTCCCAGCACATTGCAGCCCACCCATGAGAACATAGTTACAGAGGAGGCTATGCAAACTCCTCCAGCTAAGTCCCAAGGAAGGGCTGACTTCCACCCCTCAGACCAGTGCCTCACAAAGATAACGAAAGAGGGGATTTCTCTCCAGGGGATTCCACATTGCTCACCTGGTTTGCATTCTTCTTCAGCTCTGGATAGGCATCTCCCTGCGGAATGAGCCTCAGTTAGTGATAACATCCTCAGCATCTTCCTCAGGGAATCTCACAGCATGCCACAAGCATTACAGAGGTTTCTCAGGCAGAAGACTGAAGGAAGCCCCAGTGACAGCAGCACAGGGGGAGAATCACACGTGGGCTTACAGCTGCCATCTCCTTGCTGTCTCCCTGTGACCTGCCTCTGTTGCCCCTGCACAGCATCTCTTGGCAAACACGTCCATTCACAACAGGAAGCAAGTGTTGTCTTTTAGGATGCTGTTAGTACTCACAGGGACCAATTTCAGACGGCTTTAATCAGATACGACAGCTCGGAAGCCACTGCCCTCAGGAAACAACAACGTGCACTTACACGCTCACTTGTGCTGACTGTACTGCTGATCACACTAGCTCCCATGCCCTCCCATCACAAGTGATCAGGAGACAAGAGATCTTTTTACCGCTGTCACACAGAGCACCAGATACACCCTCCTGGAGCTCATTTACTTCCAAGACTGTCTCCTGATAGAGTACAGAAAAGGGATGTGGGGCTGAATAGTGCATGTGTGATACTCTTCTTCACCCCCACTGCAGCAGTTTTTACTCACCAGCACTTCCACTACGGTGGGTACCAAGGAGGCCAGGAGCTCAGGTGGAGCATGAAGAACTTCAGAGCAAAAGCGGACAGCCCTGCGCAGGATCCGACGCAGCACCAGTCTGAAAGCAGGGCAGGATTCCCCAGGCAGCCACGTGAGCACCCCTGCCCAGCTCCCACATCTCCTCTGGCCTGATCCATTGACACAGGCCAGAAACTCCCCACACTCTACACCCATCTAAGGATAAGCCTGCAGATCAGGACCTCCTCCAGGCTCTCACCTTCCTGCCTCCCCAAAGCTCATGCACTCCCTATCTTGGGCTCACACCAGAACCTCTGCCCTGCCTGTCCATATTCCTTTCTAGACCTAACTCCCTCCACCCCACGTCATTTCTTCATGTCCTTACTCTGCTCCGGAGAAGCCTGGGTAGATGCCATCAGCGATGCACACGCACAAGGTGCGCACATGATCTGCCACCACACGGTAGGCCATATTCACACGCCCAATGTCAGCATCCCCGACCAGACCTTGGTATCTGGGCCCCCCGCAGCCCTAAAAGAGAAAGGAAGGAACTAGATCAGAAGAAATTAATGGCTGCAGAAGGAAAAGTTTCAATGCAAGAGGCAGTCAGCTACACTTGACTTCATGCTTCTCAACTGCTTCTGAACCTTGTGCATCTAAGATGTACTCATTAAATGCTTCCAGAGCATTATATACCAAGACTTCCATACCTAAGACAGGTCAGCCAGTGCCCTGGTACTGAGGAATTTAAGAAACTTTGGAGGAAAAACAGATCAGCAGTGCTGATACCCCAGTGGATTTCCAACCTGGAATTCTCCCCAGTTTCCCTAGAATGCAGCTCTGGACCTGGCTGGACATACCTCCTGTCTCAAAATACCACACAATGATGTGCAGAAAAGGCTGCACTGTGCTACCAGACAAGCAGTCTGCATTCAAGGAGCTTTTGCTTAGCTGTGACTTTGAGTGGAAGCACCGTCACCTTGTGAATGGCATCCAAGATGGGAGTGAAGAGATCTGTGTCATAGTTGGAGCGTTTATTCTGCAGAACTGTTACCAGCCTTTCCAGACCCATTCCTGTATCCACGTGGTGCTGTGGCAAGGGAAGCAGATTCCCCTCCACCTCTCTGCCAGACAGTCAGTAAAAATAAAAGGCAAAAGACAAAGAAGGGTCAGTTCAGAGGCAAAGAAAAGGAGCAAGTGACTCAAAGAGGATGGGAGAGTAACAGGGGATGGAAACAGTGGGTGACCCAACAAAAGGAAGCTCAGGGACAATACTAAGAGCAGCCTGCCTCAGCACCATCAGGCAGTCAGGATCTGACTGTCAGATAGTCAGGGTAGACTGTAACGCAGGGAAGAACGTCCTTCCTGAACAGGGGCCCAAGGCTGCCTTCTTCTGCAGGTTCATCCGTGCTGCTGTAGACCTCAAGAGGCCTCTGGGACGCAGCAGTGATGGAGAATAGGCAGCAGGGCTTGAAGGAGGACAGGACAAATAAAGCAATGGGGATCAAGAGCCACAGTGGACACATCTCCACAGCTTCTTCCTTGCTCCTGCACTGCCATCTCCTGGAAAGCCGTGAGATGTCTGGGAATATACAGGTACGATTTTGGAGTCAGACAAGGGGGAAAAGCTCTGGAGTCCAGACCAGATGCCTGGTACCTGCTATACTGCATGAAGACCAGGTTCCAGACCTCCACTACATCAGGGCTGCCCTGGTTCACCAGTGCCGCAGCATTTCTGCCACCGCCCACGTGGTCATAGTGGATCTCTGTGCAGGGACCACAGGGACCTGTGTCCCCCATCTCCCAGAAGTTGTCCTTCAATGGAAAAGGAAGCACGTGACTGGCAGGCACCCTGGAAAGGCAAACAACAGAGGTAGCAGCGCAGGGGCACACACACAAAGCACGTGCTAGCCTAGATCACAGAGAAAGTTGGAGGGGAGGAATCCTTTCTACCTACTGCAAACTCAACCATCAAACACATTAGGATTCCTTTGCTTCTGTTCACACACAATTACTCTCCTCAGCACGAACAAGCTGGACCTTTTTTTTTCTGGCTCCTTCTGACAGAGACAGGCTCTCTGCTGGGTCTGTGGAGCTGGCTTCCTCCCTGGAGGGAATTCCAGCAGAGCCAAGACCTGATCACAGCAGACAAGGCTGAACACCAACAGTAGCACAGAGCTGGCTGCCTCAGGTCCAAAGCCCACATACAGCCCGGAACAAGCTCCCAAAGCACAGCACTGCTCTCTGCAACTGTTTTATCTTCACGCTGAAGCAGTCATTGCTAGCTTTCAGAGGAGAATGTACTGCAGCACCTGTCAGCCTTTCCTCATAGGAGAGAGTTGGGGCTGTTCAGCCTGGAGAAGAGAAGGTTGTGGGAAGACCTTACAGCAGCCTTCCAATACCTGAAGGGGGCCTATAGCAAAGATGGGGAAAATATTTTCAGGAGGGCCTGTTGTGATAAGACAGGGAGCAATGGCTTTAAACCAAGGGAGGGTAGATTTAGGCTAGATGTAAGGAAGAAATTTTTTACCATGAGGGTAGTGAAAAACTGGAACAGGTTGCCCAGAGAGGTAGTGGAGGCCCTGTGATAGAGGGGATTGTAAGAAATGTGAAACTATAACAAAAAGCCTTAATGTTTTCTAGTTTTTAGTAGTCTTTAGTACCGTAACTTGTATTTCTGCATGCATAGTGATCTAACGATGTAACTGTTACACTAATCCCTGTTTTCTCATTAAGGAATGTAGTGGAAGGACATGGGCACAAGCTATCACTTAGTCGTTAGACAAAATA